ATCCTTTGACAGTAATTCAGGTAAAGCATTTGCAAATAACTTGGTGAACAGGTTTTTTGCAGGACCAAGGTCGGAGAGTGCTCTGACTGGTGCCTCTCAAAGGAGTCTGCTCTCCCCTGATTGTGTGTCTCTGTGCAGATGATCTTTAGATAACAAACTTGTCTGTTTGTGTCCTCCCTTTTTCTTGCAGTATAATGTTATTTTTTCCATAGTGAATGTTTTTTTTCCCCTTAAACTCAGGTTCAGTGAAATCTGTGGTTGACTCAGATGTGCCTTATGATCTTGTTAATCTTGATTTGTTCATCAACATTTATAGAGCTTGAATAGACTACAAGGAGGTTATTGGTACTCTGATAGATGCCTGAACCTAAACGCCTTCTCACTCAGTCATATTGTTCCAGGTCAATGTCAAGGACTGTAGAAAGTTTTTGTACTCCAGACTAACTTTTATTGTTGTTTTGAATGTTGCCTGTTTCATTTTCTGCATACAGGCTTGTGGCTTGAATCAGTTCAGAAAGGACGTGGTCAGGTTCACCAGCCCATGTTGTTTTTCAGCTACCGGTCTAATGAGATTGATCAGGAGCAGAAGCCAACATTTTTTGGCGTTATTAGATTTCTGCGATGCACAACTGTCTGCTTTCAGCTGTCAGAGGAAGTCTCTCACAAACAACATCCCCACCCCAGTAATGCAGATCCGGTCGTTTGAGCTGGAAATACATTCAGCACAGCCAAATCACACTTTAAAAGCTGCAAACACTGCATGTGTTTATGTAAAGGTTTGCTATGATTTTTTTCAGTCATGCCAATAAATGTCATATTGGGCTACAAGCTGTGTCAGTCTGGGCTGGACCTCCCATTTAGTGAAAACCAGATGTGTGTTTACCAAAACCATTAGTATTTGAAGTCTACTCAGAAATACACCTGTCAGCAGTCATGGCTGTCGTAGATCATTTTCAAAGGACTTTTGGAAGGGTTTGATGTATGCGAGAAGCTGTAGCCTTGAAAGCTGTAACTTTGAACGTTGGTGTCGCCAGGTTTGCACATTTCATTTCAAAGATTAAAGGGAACACCAGCTGTCTATTTGAAAACTTTGTATGTGGACCTGATAGTTGCCTGAAAGAAAACGTTGGCAAATATGGTATAAGATACTTTACTCTGGTCCAAAAAGTCTGAAGTTTGAGAGAATACTCAGGCAAAGGTGCTTTTAACCTAAATATATACATCACAATGCAATGCATTTAATATTTATCTGAATTGTTTGACATTTCAGCAGTAAAATGCAGTGATCAGGCTCTGTTAAACTGAACGAAAAAGAAACTCAAAGGTCAATAAATTCCACTACTTTCAGTACAGCTTTATGGAGAATTTTTCACCGACTTGTGAGATTTGGCCAAGCAGCACTCTCACCTGCCTGGTAGTTTATTTTCCAGTGAAAGACTGCAGACAGAAACTTTGATAAACTATTTAAAAGAAAGTTCAGTAGAGATATAAATTATTACTCCCAATTAACCAAAAGTTCTTTTTTATTTCAGGTTACTTCTGTCCCTGCTTTCATTATCTTTTAATCGGTACCTTACATGACAGTAGAAGGTTTGGCAGACCCTTTTTCCTGTCTGATACCTGCTGTTTTCATCTAAACTCCATCACTTCAGTTATTTAAGGTTTTGTAACACAATCAGGGAAAAAGCGTAAACTTTTAGCGTTTATTGGTATCATCTAAGATGTATAATGACTGCAGAAAGTTTTGGTTTCATTACTTTTTTAATGTGCTGTACTACCGTGCTGCTCTATACACCATGTCCTGTATTTGTAGTGCAAATAGAGTAAGATGGTGAATCTGTTTTGGAAGTAGGCCACACAACAACAGCTTTCCAATCTGTTGCCATACATTAGACCTTGTATTTGGAGAAACAACCCATTTTTAGTGTTTACCGTTGTTTGAAGGATGAGAGGATTGACACCCTTTTCCAGTTTGAATGGTTCATGTACAGTTGTGTTCTGGGTCGGTTAGCTGTTTCCAGTTGTTTCCAGTTGTGCGCTAACCATCTGCAAGCAGCTGCTTCACATTTAAGCAACAGATCGAGAGGAGATTTTTTTTTTTCCCAGCCTGTCAGACTAACTTTAATCAGCTTTCATCTCCATGTTTGTCTTAAGTCGTGTAGCCAAGAGTCTAGATTGAATGCACATGTACGGTATCGGTGTCCATCTGAGGTGTAGCCACTTCCCATCATGCACATCTCATGCTTTGTGGGCCTAGTTAAAGTATCCAGTTATCCATGTCTCATGATTCCTGTTTAGGCTAATCGTGTGACAGGCCCTGCTTTGAATAGTAAGGTAATTGATCGTGCGCTGTGCTTCATTAGACGCTCTAAAATGGCTGTTTGTTTGTGTTTACGGTCACAGTCGCGGCAGGGCTTGATTTGTGTTTCTGTTTGTCCTATAAATCAAATGGGATGTTTTAATGGCATGAACTTATTCTGTGAAAATGTCTGCTTTGTGACCTTGACTTTCATCATTTTTAATAATATAGCTATACAAGCGTACTGGTTTGTGTGCACGTGTGTCTGTGTGCGTTGTTTTAACAAGTATCACATGGATTAGGGGCTCCACTGATCAGGAGGGAGTTATGTTGAGTTCATCATGTTGGGAGGCCTGTCCAGTCCAGCTGAGAGAGATACTGTTTGCTAAGATAGAAAAATGAGTGTGCTGGTTTGATCCGTTTCAGTACAGAAGGATTCTTGTAGAAAAGTATTTGTGCTTGCATCTTAACTAGGACCTCTTGTATTCATATTTACCTCTATATTTGTATTCTGAGACTTCCCAGTTTAAGAAAAAAAAAAAATTCTGCTAAACCGAACCCTCATAGAGGCTTTCAGCTCATTCTGCCTGAAACAATCACTTTCAGCTCTTTCACATTTCCTTCTGATTACCCGTCCCTTGTCTGGCTTCCACAAAGTGAACCACAAAGTCTTTGTGAACACTACTTCCTCTTTTTGGGAGTATGCAAAGTCACAAAAACAAACCTGCCGAGGGACATAATTTCTTATTGTTTATGTTGTGGCTGACTTGTGGGGAATGTCATAAAATGCCAGTTGAGAGGGGAAAATATCTGTTGTCAGGAAATCCCAAAGTTACAGAAACCAGAGAAATATTACCTGCAGCCGCCAAGCGAATGTGTAATGACTCTCAGCACTGGAGGCTGTTTGTATGCTGGAGTACTTGAAAGAAGTGCCAGTAATACTAATCATTTAGACTGTTTTAAGAGAATGTGCTCGTACATTTACTGAGACGTTTATATTGGACTGTTGTTTGCACGTTGAGGCTTGATAGTTTGCCGTGAGCGACTGCAAACGCATTACTTCTGGGTTGACCTTGCTAAATAGAAAAGCTGTGTTGTGGAGCCTGTCTAGTGTAGCTGTAGTGTTATGCTATTTAGCCTTATATGACCAACGACTTGTTTTACAGACTTGTCATGTGTACTGTAGGCTTTGCTCTTACATTGAAACTCATCATCTCCCTGTCACCATCATTGTAATACCTCTGCTGCCATGGTGGGGGTTCTTTGATACTGAGTTACTCTTAGTCACCTGTTTTCCTCAAATGGAAAAAATGAACATGTTCATCACTTTGATGTACAGTTAAGTAGAAAAATAAGTAAGTCCCATTAAGATTATTGGCTTTTTCCACATTTCAGCTGGTTGGCATGTTTATGTCTTTGAAACATTGCTTACAGTTGAAAATGAGATCAGACCATAACTATGACCTGCTTATTCAGCAAGTGCTGTGTTTTTTATTTGTATTTTTCCTTTTTAAGGTGTGGGATGCCATCAGACCAAGAGCTTTAGGAAAAAAAAAATCTGGATTTGTTTTAGTCTGATGAGGATTTAAATAGGATCTCCAAATTGTTTGAAAGTGGAAAATATGTCACTACTGCTGGTGCACATTTCAACTGTTTTCCTATCTGCCCAACCAAACAGCAGTCCAACCAAAAAACATCACCACAGTGTCTGCAGGTAGCTCAAAGCGCGTTCATCTACAGTGAGAACGAGAGGGCAAACATTCACATGGGAGGCTTTCCCACAAACCAGCCTTTGGTTCTAAGAAGGCAGAATTTGAGTTTTCTTGTGAACATGCAGGAAACGGATCAGGCCTGTGGATTGAAAGGCGCAGAAGAACAGCATTGCAGAAGAGCCTCGTATCTTACAGTAAGGTGCAAAATGTTGATTTGCTTTGCTGCCTCAGAAACTGAGCAACTCGATGAGTTCGGTCTAATATCAAAGACTTTTTTTTTTCTTTCAATAAGAGTTTCCTTGCTGTGTTTAACTTTATCCACAGGTACTGATTTAAAGAGACTCGAATGTTGAGTTGTGCAAAATATGTAGGAGGAAAAAATGTCAACTTTTTTTTTTTTTTTTTGACTCTAGTTAATCGTGGAATTTGTCCCCTAGTGTTTCAATACTTTCAGGAGAGCACCGCTCCTTCTCTCTAAATGTAAGGCATTTCCTGGAGAGGATCAAGCAGACATGCACGTCTGGCTTTCTGCACAGAAGAATGGTGGCTGCACAGGCCTGAAGGGAGCTCGTGATTTATGTACATAGTTTTTAAATTCTCCCTGTGAACATTTCTGTACTAATGTGCTAATTTTCCCCGCAGCGATACCTTTGCAGAGTTGAAATCTTTACCTCTTCAATTGTAATGCTGCTCGATACCCGTGCTGCAGCACATCTTTCCAAAGTTATCGAGTAATTTTTAGGGCAATTTTACATCCGTGGTTGAGTCTGCTGGGATTACTTATTATACATCAGGGAAGAAATAAAAAATCGTAAATGTACTGAAGCGTTTTGGGCTTTCCCCAAAGGAAAATCATCAGGGTAGCAATTGAAATATATTTGAATGCATTTCTTTAAAGAGGGGTTTGATATAACCCTTTCTGTTTTCCCTGTGATTGCCTGGATAACCACCCCCCC